GGGGAGAGACTCAGAGAAGAGAGAAGAGAGGATGGGGGTATGAAGAGAAAGAAGAGCGAGGAAGGGATGGAAGGAGCATACGGGAAGGGTGGAGTGAGTAAATGAAGGGATGGAGAGATAGACTGAGACAGAGGAGAAAGGGATGGTCTGATGAACTGAAAGAGGGAGAAAATGAAGAAAAAAGATGAAGTGGGGGAGAGTTTGAATGAGTGACAGACTCAGAGAAGGATGGAAGGATGGAAAAGTGGAGGATGGAGGTATAAAGAGAGAGAAAGAGGGAGTAGAGATGGAAGGAGCAGATGGGAAGGGCGGAGTGAGTAAATGAAGGGATGGAGAAACGAGGGAGTGAGGGATAGACTGAGACGGAGGAGAAAGGGATGGTCTGATGAACTGAAAGAGGGATAAAAAGAAAAGCAGATGAAGAGGGGAGGGTTTGAATGAGTGACAGAGGAAAGGAAAGATGGAGAGAGGTACAAGAATGAGCAAAAAAGGAGGATAAGATTGAGAGAGAGGGGAAAGGAGGGAGAAAGGGAGAAATGGAGGAAGAGTGGGTGAACTAGAGAGTGAAAGGGATGGACGGATGGAGAGAGGGTAGCAACAGAAAAGGAGAAAAGCGTGAGTAAAGGAAAGAGGGAGAGATGGAGGAGAGAACGGTGGAGGGACGGTCGGAGAGGTGAAGAGAGAGAAAGAGGTTTGGATGGAGAGAAAGGGAGAAAGGGTAGAAGAGAAGAACGCAGTCAGTAAAAGAAGGAGGGAGAGACGAAGGAAGGAGAGGAGGATTGGGGGATGAAATGAGGGAGGGTGAGAGATGAAAGAAAGAGAGAGAGGGAAGCGAGAGATGAAGGGAAGCAGAGAAAGCAGGCAATTACACTTCAATCACGCCACGCACCCTTCTCCTCTCATCTTCTCCACTTCCTTCCCCCTCTTTTATCTCTCACCCCTCCTCTTTTCTTCCTCTCCTCTTTCCCTCTCTCCATCCTCTGCTCCCGTGTCCCTCCCCAAAGTGATCGTATGTCCCCTCGCTCCGCTCCTCAGTTTCAGGACGGTCCCGTGGGCAGATCCGGTGTTCGGAGATTGGCGCTTCACTCCCCTGACCTCGCGAAGGACGAACATCTCATTTCCATCACATGAAACCCGACCTCCTCTGGCCTCCTCTCGTCCCTCTCTGCTCCTCCGTCCAAAGAGGCGAGCGCTCTGCCTCAGATCCACTCTCGCTATCTCCCCCTCTCCTCGCAGATTACATGCATTTGGACACACTCAACTTTCTCTATCACTCGGGCCCGGGAGGAAATTCAAGGGCAGGGACGGTGTAGGGTCAGCGACGTTTGAAAGAAAAAGAAAGAAAAAGGTGCTAGGACTGGAGAAGGAAGACATTCTAGGTCGACTAAAGATCTGGCAATCAATTAGTCGACTAAAATGGGGCGTTATCAAAGCTCTAAAGACTGTATCTCTGTGTGTCTGACCAAAACTGTGTGGGAGTTTATGCAAAAACAACTATTTATCCAGAAATAAATTAATAGGAAGCAAAGTATTCATTTAAGAACAGATTCATCTTGTGTTTAATCTAACTTTTAACATATAAATACCAAAAATGCAGACTCATCGGCTAACTCACTGTTCTACTGTTGTCCCATATAAATCCTTATAATCTAAATAAAATGATTATTCAATTAATGCAATTTTTGGTTGACTAAAGCCCCCCACACACTATGCACACCACAGACACGAGGAGAATCTTCAGATTTCAAATCTCTGATTGCAAAGACTGCAGCAGGATATGGCTGCGTATCACAGGATACAAGAGTACCATATTTTTTTGACTATAAGTCACACTTTTTTTTTTTTTCATGGTTTGGGTGTTTCCTGCGACTTATATATTAAAATTTTCACACTGACAGTCGCTAGAGGCTCTAAGCTTGTGTGTCAGTATCTGCTGCTCCTATTACTCATGTACCACTGTCACTTGGCTCTACTGTGCATGTGTCCTGCTGCAAGTAGTGAAATATGCAGCCGAAAACAGTAATCAAGCAGCAGAAAGAAAGTCTGGAGTGAGTGGAAAACTTGTGAGGGACTGGCGGAAAGAGGATAGAGAACACAGCTTCACAGTAACCTGGAGAGTGCACTATGCAACTTTCCTGGAAGTCACTGGATGGATCAACAAAGCCTGGACTTCAGTGACACCGAAAACATCCTGTCGGGATTCAGAAAGGCCAGAATAATTTTAACTGGAACTGATGCTGAGTCTGACAACAGCTACACAGAAGAGGAAGCTGCGCTCTGTTTACCTCCAGAGGTTGTGGAGTTGCTCAGAAGTGACACAGAGGATGAAGAATTAAATGGATTTATTGATTTGGAGTGAAATGGAGAGTTTGTTAAACTTGTTCTGTTCTATTGTTTATGTTATATTTATCTGAAGAATTATTCATATGTGACGTTAACAGTCTGTTGTTCTCTCTTCTATTGTTATTACTTTAACTTGACTTTCAAGATTAAATGTCGGTTCCTGGGCTCTGATTATATTCAATAACTTTCCCCCCAAAAGTGCAACTTATACTCCGAAAAATACGGTAACTAGAGTAAAACCACTTTAAAGTGTTAAGAAAATCAGAGCACTGCACTACTAATTTAGATGCAAGTCAAAAAATATGGTACAATTATTCAGATACATGTTTTTTAATGCACAGAAAGTTTGCGATGAAGTACACAGGAAGAACACATGTGAGGATCTACTCTCACCTTTTTACTTTTAAAGAACACTTCAAACTGGATGTGTCACTCTGTTTTGTGGACTGGGAGTCGTTATTAGCGCAGAACAAATTCCAAGGATAATGTGGATGAGACGCTGCAGTTCAAATTTACAGCTTTACAAGAGGCGAGTCATAAAGTCTCCTCATTATTTTCTCTATTTCCTGAGTTCTTGCACCTCTGTGTCCGTCACTTGCTCTGTTTTATCGGCTGGTGCTGTGGTGGCGATGCTTTACTGTTATGATCTGACAGGACGGCACAGAGTCGCACTGACACACAGAAGGGTAACGCCTCCCCGAAGTCCAGGAAAAGCAAATCGCATTATCCCATAGCGTGTGGTGGCCTTTAGACTAAACTATTACAGGTAATTGCTATAAAGAGGACAATTTAACCATTTTTACATTTCTGAGTTCAGGACAAATGTTAACATGAATGCTTCAAAACTATAGCTATTCAAAAACCAGGCTTACAGACAAATGCAAAAAGCTGAACAGTGTCAAGTAGGACATAATGATAGGTACAGATTCAAGAGCATGATAATAGACAATGACCTGCTCGACTGAAAATGGACTCTTGACAAACCAATCTCACCGCTGACACTGGCTTGTAACTTTGTTCGCTTCGATCACCAAAGTTCAGGTTCAAACATAGATCAAGTTCAAGCAACGGCTGTAGATTTCCATTTCAACCATTTGAAAGCTCCAAACCTCCAGAATTTTATGCGATATATCACTGCCAGCACACAAAAAGTTTCCGATGGAATTCAAAGTTAGGACAGATACTGGAATGAATGGTTGAACTATAACAAAAAAAGAGCAGATTCAAAATAAATAACCAAATGTGCAGCGTAATTTTCCAAGCAAATGTTATATTTCTGCATAGTTCACTAAAGTATCATCATTTTGAAGATAAACAAATGCATCAAAATAATATAAATATTAACTAGAGATGGGACCAGACTGAGATTGGGTCCACAAAAACGAGAAAAGATGACATTTTAACACAGTTTCTAATACAGTAGATTCATTTCACAATTCATTTTCCAATTTTGGCCTAACTTTTTGATTTGATTTCTTATTTTTGTTTCCATTCTACTTCTGCTTTTTGGAACTGTACCAGATGTAACTCAACACGTGACCTGTTTTTTTTGTTCAATCCAAATGTAAACACATGGGAAAAAAATCTCATGAGATCATTTTTCTTATGTGTGCACGATCTTGTGGTTATTTTGTCTCATGAGATCTTGTGGCGTAACATCTTGTACCATCCCTATCGCCCATCCTAGTACCATTTTGTAGTAAGTTCAGTCTAGAAAACCTTGGACAATCGGTATTCAGCAAGCAACAGCAACAAAAAGTCTCCCAAGTTTAAGCAAATGAATCAACTGATCAACACGACCAAAACCAACAATCCGCACTGTGAAATGTCTTTTCAGGTTAAAATGACTCAAATCAAGAAAATGTTCATTCTGTTTGAGTAAATTTCACTTAACAAATAAATATATCTACCAATGGACCAAGCCTTTTTGTACTTGAAATACAAAAACGCGTCTTGTTGCATTAAAAAGAAGAAAACAACAAATCTTTACACTTAAAATGGGAAACTAAATCGTAGCCGTAATGCAGGTTGAATCAAGAATGAAATACTTATTCCACTGGTAGATAATTTTACTTGTTAAAGGTGCACTGTGTAAATTTTTGGTTGGCGAATAGGTCATTGCCAGAACTTTAACTTCTTGGGTTCTTTTTAAAGACAATGCAGTAAAAAGTAAAAAGAACCCAAGAAGTTAAAGTTTATAAGGAGACAAAATTAACATCATTGGCTTAATATGTCATTGCCAGGCTTAGAATGTTCCACAATATGACATTAAATAGCTCTACCTTACATTTATTCAATTACAGGTGGTGTTATAGCTAAAAAATATCAAGAAAAAAAAGGTGTTCTGACTGTGGAGACTGATCTGACCTGTAACTTGGTCTGGTTTGGTCTCCAAGATGATTCTACGAAAAAAATAGTTGACAAACCCTCCACCAGAAGAGTTACACAATGCACCTTTAAGTCAAAACTACTCAAATCAAGTTAAATGTTCTTAATTTGAGTCATTTAAATGTTCAACAATAATTCAATCAAAATGTCAAATGTTCAATTCAACAATAAACTTATCATCAACAATAATGTACCTAGATGCTTCTTTCTGCAGTTCAGTCTAACTTTTCTAAACTTAAACGCATAAATGAAACACGTTCTGTACTCACCGATCAGCTCCGAGTCCTTTTTGCTCTCCTTCGCGCTGGGCAAACAGTTTTCCAGATAAACTCCATTGTGAAAACACCCGTCCACGGGGTTGAGCTGAGGAGGGGGGTCCCAGCACAAACACGGCGTCTGCATTATCCCACACGGCCTGTTGGAGGTGCTAGAGGCCAGGCAGTCCTCGAGCCACTGACACAGCATCTGACAGGCGGCCATACTCGGGTTCCTCTTCCCCACGACTAAATATTCAGTCTTAAAATCTCCGTCGCCGTCTGTGATCGCTAAACCCGGTCTGACGGGTCCTTTCCGCATTTGTAAAAACTGTTTCCCCGCCTCGAGAAAAGCGACAGGCGCGGACAAATCGCACATTTTAACAACCTCGTCGAAACTCTCCATTCCCAAGTAAGTGCGAGTTGTTTCTAAAAAAGAATCGTACTGAAACGTGCGAAGTTGCGAAGGGATGCAGTCCTCCATGGGTTTGGTGACTTTGATGAAAACAGTGTAGCGTCTCGGGTCGGGATTCTGCAACGTCCAAGAGCAAGGCACGCTGGGAAACGTAGTCGCAGATCTGAAGAAGCCGAAAAAGCGGTTTTGGACCAGCGTGGAGCAGGAGTCCGACTCTGGGCCCGACGGAGACGCATGGCAATAGTTTTTGGATAGTAAAAAATGGGCGATATAGAAGAGAAGAGATGAAAGACGCAAGCCGGGTATCCCAAGAGTGAAGTCGGTCATGGTGTGGAGGAAGATGGATCGCAGATTGGATTCGGAGGGAGTAATCCAAAGTTTTTACCAGGCCGAGTGAGGGAGAGGAGGAAGGGAGGAGTGAGGGAGGAAGATAGTGTTCTCAGAGATCCAACTTTTGTCCCATGGCTCGATCAATCCACTCAGAGATTCCTTTAAAGAACCTGTAAAAAAAAAAGAAACAAGCATTAGTGCAATTTATTCAAAGATTTGATTCAATTCAGAGAGAGAAAAAAAACTATTTGCGGTGCACTCACGAGTATGCAAGGACACAGCTTTGTGGCTTCTGACTGTACAGTTACATTAGTAAAAGAGGCCGTGAGTGGTACTTGTGCAGGGATTGAGTCATCGACTAATACTTTTAAAGATCACATATTCTGCTTGATTCTGCTATAGAGTTATCAGCTATGACACCCGTGGATCATTACGTTATACTTTGGACGTTTTAAATCGCAATATTCAACTAAAACGGCTTAATAAAGAAACAAATCCGCTGTCTTCCGCTTTAGAAAAATGCGGTGCTCAGTGGGAGTAGACGTCATCACGACAAAAGGACAGTGTGTAAATGGCTCAAACCACAGAAAAAAAAACCCAAAAGACAATATGGTGTCTTGAAAATAAGATTAACCAAACAGGCATGAATCACTCCAAAACCAACTTCAAGAAGGTAAATGAGAAATGAGTCTGGAATTTTGGACATAGGACCTCATTTCCTAGCCAGAGTGTTGATCCTTTTTTGTCCAATCCAAACATAAATGTATAAAAAAAAAATCTCACAAGATCATTTTTCTCATGAGGCAATTTTGTCTCAACATCCCTAATATTCACTCTTGTCCATATCGCCCATCCCAATAACATTTTGCAGTAAGTTAAGTCTAGAAACAGCAACAAAAAGATTCAGTTTCAGTTTAAGCAAATGAATCAACTGATCAAAACAACCAAAACTAACAATCCACACTGCAAAATGTTTAATCAATCCAGGTTAAAATGACTTGAATTTTAAAAAAAGTTAATTCGGTTTGAATAAATTTCACTTGACAAGTAAATGTATCTACCAATGGAACAAGCCTTTTTGTACTTGAAAATAGGAAAACGCTGTTTCTTAATAAAGAAACAAATCTGCTGTCTTCCACTTTAGAAAAATGCGGTGCCCAATAGAAGTAGACATCATCACAATGAAGGGACAGTGTGTAAATGGATCGTACAACTGATACCACATAAAAAAAACAAAAAAACAGAAACACAATATGGTGTCTTGAAAATAAGATCACCCAAACATGCACAAATCACTTCAAAACCAACTTTGAAAGGGTAAATAAGAAGATAAGAAGGGGAAACATCTATAACATGGTTGAAGGGACAGTCCAGAATGTTGGATATAGGACCTCATTTTCTAGTGAGACAGAGTGTTGATCTGTTTTTGTCCAATCCAAATATAAACACATGGAAAAAAAATAAATAAAATCTCACAAGATCATTTTTCTCAAGTGTGCATAATCTTGAGGCAATTTTGTTCTCACCATCCCTAATATTCACTCTTGTCCATATCGCCCAGCCCAGTAACATTTTGCTAGATAACCTTGGACAATCAATATTCTGCAAATAACAGCAACAAAAAGTCTCTCAAAAGTTTAAGCAAATGAATCAAAACAACCAAATCCAACAATCCACACCGCAAAATGTTTAATCTATCTAGGTTAAAATGACTTGAATTGACAAGTAACAAGTAAATGTATCTACCAATGGAACAAGCCTTTTTGTACCTGAAATAGGAAAACACGATTACTTAATAAAGAAACAAATCCGCTGTTCTCCACTTTAGAAAAATGCGGTGCCCAATAGAAGTAGACATCATCACAACAAAGGGACAATAAAGACACCACAGAAAAAAACAAAACAAAACAAAAAAACAATGCTTTAATATGTTCTGACTGAATGTTTAATCAAAAAAGGTTTGATACAAGGTCTGCAAGCCCATGTGAAAAAGACTACTACAACTACTACTACTACTACTACAACAACAACTACTACTACAACTACTACTAGTACAACTACAACTACATCTACTACAACAACTGCTACAACTACAACAACAACTACTACTACAACTGCGAACTACTACTACTACAACTACTACTAATACTACTACAACTACTACTAGTACAACTACAACTACATCTACTACAACAACTGCTACAACTACAACAACTACTACTACTACAACTGTGAACTACTACTACTACAACTACTACTAATACTACTACAACTACATCTACTACAACAACTGCTAACTACTACTACTACAACTACTACTAATACTACTACAACTACTACTACTACAACTACTACTACTACTACTACTACAACTGCTAACTACTACTACTACAACAACTGCTAACTACTACTACTACTACTACTACTACAACTACTACTACAATAACTACAACTACTACTAATACTACTACAACTACTACTACTACTACAACCATAACTACAACTTCTACAACTACAACAACAACTACTACTACAACTACTAACTACTACTACTACAACTACTACTAATACTACTACAACTACTACTACAATAACTACAACTACAACAACAACTAGTAAAACTACAACCTCAATAACTGTTACTACTACAACTACTACTACTACAACAACTACAACTACTACAACTACTGCTACTATACAACTACAACCTCAACTGCAACTACAAACAACACTACAACTACTACTACTACTACTACTACTACTAAAATTACTACCTCAATAACTGCTACTACTACAACAACTACAACTACTACCTCAGCAACTACTACTACTACAACTACAGCCACTACAACAACTTCTACTACAACTACAACTACTACTACAACCTAACTACAACTTCTACAACTACTACAACTAACTACTACTACTACAACTACTAACTACTACTACTACAACTACTACTACAACAACTACAACTACTACCACAATAACTACAACTACTACAACAACAACTAGTAAAACTACAACCTCAATAACTGTTACTACTACAACTACGACTACTACTACAACAACTACAACTACAACAACAACTACTACTACAATTACTAACTACTACTACTACAACTACTACTAATACTACTACTACTACAATAACTACAACTACTACAACAACAACAACTAGTAAAACTACAACCTCAATAACTGTTACTACTACAACTACGACTACTACTACAACAATTACAACTACTACAACTACAACCTCAACTGCAACTACAACAACAACAACTACTACTACTACTACAACTACTAAAATTACTACCTCAATAACTGCTACTACTACAACTACAACTACTACCTCAGCAACTACTACTACTACAACTACAGCCACTACAACAACTTCTACTACAACAACTACAGCCACTACAACAACTTCTACTACAACTACAACTACAACTTCTACAACTACAACAACAACTACTACTACAACTACTAACTACTACTACTTCTACAACTACTACTAATACTACTACAACTACTACTACAACCACAACTACAACTTCTACAACTACAACAACAACAACTACTACTACAACTACTAACTACTACTACAACTACTACTAACACTACTACAACAACTACTACAATAACTACAACTACTACAACTACAACAACTAGTAAAACTACAACCTCAATAACTGTTACTACTACAACTACGACTACTACTACAACAACTACATCTACTACAACTACTGCTACTACTACAACTACAACTGCAACTACAACAACAACAACAACTACTACTACTACTACTACTACTAAAATTACTACCTCAATAACTGCTACTACTACAACAACTACAACTACTACCTCAGCAACTACTACTACTACAACTACAGCCACTACAACAACTTCTACTACAACTACAACTACTACTACAACCACAACTACAACTTCTACAACTACAACAACAACTACTACTACAACTACTAACTACTACTACTACAACTACTACTACAATAACTACAACTACTACAACTACAACAACAACTAGTAAAACTACAACCTCAATAACTGTTACTACTACAACTACGACTACTACTACAACAACAACTACAACTACTACAACTACTGCTACTACTACAACTACTATTACCACCTCAATAACTGCTACTACTACAACAACTACAACTACTACTACTACAACTACAGCCACTACAACAACTTCTACTACAACTACTACTACAACCACAACTACAACTTCTACAACTACAACAACAACTACTACTACAACAACTACTAACTACTACTACTACAACTACTACTACAATAACTACAACTACAACAACAACTAGTAAAACTACAACCTCAATAACTGTTACTACTACAACTACGACTACTACTACAACAACTACAACTACTGCTACTACTACAACTACAACCTCAACTGCAACCACAACAACAACAACGACTACTACTACTACTACTACTGCTACTACTACTACAACTACTAAAATTACTACCTCAATAACTGCTACTACTACAACAACTACAACTACTACCTCAGCAACTACTACTACTACAACTACAGCCACTACAACAACTTCTACTACAACAACTACAGCCACTACAACAACTTCTACTACAACTACAACTACAACTTCTACAACTACAACAATAACTATTACTAGAACTACTACTACAACTACAATGACTACCACTACTACTACAAGTACTTTTGCCATTATAAGAAAAAGTCCCCACTGTTATCACACTTTAAAATAAGACATAACCACATGTAGATAGTGTAGTAACTTTTATATGCTGTTTTTAATGTGCAAATGTGACTGAATTTACAGAACATCAAGTCTTTTTTTTTTTTTTTTTTTTTTTAAAGTTATTTCCTTGTTTATGAGTCAATTTCCTTTGTTGTAACATTTGGTATCAGTAAGAGAGCAGATGCAAGCGTGCCTGAAAAACTGACGTCCGTGAATAATGGA